ATAGATCGGTTAATGAATGTTACTATATTGTCATATAAATAGTCTTAATTTTAAAATCTTGATTGCATATGTAATTCTTGTGGATAATTTAATTACATATATAGATCTGTGAACCTATATTATGTTTAATGAGAATCATTTTTATTATGAAAATTGTTTATAAATTGTTGAATATATTTTGTTTATTTGTTTATGAATTTGTCAATAATTGTATTAAATATGGGAAATATTTTTCTTATTTATATATTATAATTAATTAAAAAAGATAATAATTAGTAATGTTATTTTATTATTTATTCATTAAAAATGACTTAAAAATGACGATTAAATGACAATATATTTATGATAATATTTCGTAACAAATGTTACGTTTATTTTACGTCGTTTTTTAATATACTGACAAAAGATGACCTTAAATCATCATAACGTCATAGTAACGTCATCTTGCCATTTGAGATACATAGATTTTATACGAATAATCTTAGTATATTCGGTATAATCACAATATAAATACAGAATATTCGGATGATATCATGCTGCTAGGATATATTCGGTATATTCTGAACATGAGCTTAAGAATATACGAGAAATGATATATCATCAAGATGTCATATGAATGTTCTCTAGTATATTAGGCAATAGTACATATGACCACAGTATTTTCAATACGAATTAGAATATTCGAATGATATTATGTGCTATTAGTATGTATAGTATAAATTTATTTTATGTATTTTTTATATTTCACATATTTGTTACAAGTAGATTTTACATTAGTTGAAGATTTGTATCAACACACATTCATGAACATAGCACGGAACAGAATCACAAAATCATGGACATAGCACGGAACAAAACAATAAAATCGTGAACATAGTCGTGTTACCTACCAACCAATTTCGTGAACATGGCTATGTAATTCAATGTCCACGATCGTGGACATTGGCGCTTCAAAATAAGGTAACAGGTAAATCGCGACTGTGGCTGAGGCTTCTCTCTGATATAAAATAATATTTGATTAAAATACAACTTGGTAAACATAACTGATTTGAATTTTGCACGGATTCTAATTAATCAAAATTCGTTGTACTTGGCAACATTTTTTGCTTAATAATGCCATAGGATATGCAGCCTATTGGCAGTCCATACTCATATAGTCAAAGACGTGAAACTTTTCATTTTTCATGTTTCCGCTCTAGGAGAAAAGTGACAGTGATTGACCTGATATTTCACTTTAGTGAGTATAGGGAATATCGCATTTTCACTATACCTATATCCAATCGTGCGTACTTTTTCACGTGAGATGAAAGTATACGGAAAACGAGGAAAGTTGATAAAAATACACACAATCGATCTCCAAACAAAGCTAGATGCTGACGATTAAGCATCATTTTATGATATAAACATGTGATATAACCAGGCAATATATCTTTTTTGTATTAGCAATAAATAATTGATTATGATTACATGACATAACCTTATAATCGTGATACAGTACTTTTCTTTAAAAAGAAATTTATACATTTATATCTCGACAATAGTTTGTAAAATTTTCATCAAAACAAACGTGAATAGAATATACACATTCATTTCCGTCGATATAAATACATAAAATTTAAATAAATAGTTTTTGATAGAGAACGATATTCTCAAAGCAGAACCATTTAATATACGCATAGTTTGGATTTCGTAATTCTCTCCAATTGACTATTGCTACCCTCGTTTATCGTTATCACTTATGAATATATATATATATATATATATATATATATATATATATATATATAGTATAGTT